GTAGTCTTCCTGCTGGTGGTTCTTTAATAGCTGGGTTTAACAAACAATGAACCTATTATTTGAGTGCATCTGCTATCGCTTTTATATTGCGGTTCCCTCAAGGACTCTGGAGTCCACAAGGCCAGCTTGAAGTGCTTTTTATACGGCCTCAAAACCAAGGCACAACTTGTGTCAATTGATATTACGAGTCTCTCGTAACATGTGCTGATGTATTGACATCCCTTGCGATACTCGTGGCGATGATATTGAGGTGTCCACACAGGCATGGAACGCTACAGTTCCCTCTCCAGACTTCCGACTTTTATTGTTAAGTTGGATCTCAGGCACGAAAATGAACAAAGATCCGACTCTGAGGCGGATTGAAGTTGAGACAAGCAGCCTTTACTTATGGAAACAAACTAGCAATATAATAAAAATAACAGCCTCCTGCTTTATCACAATACTTTAACAGTACCCCAAAACACACTCTGGAGCCCCCAAACCTTGGCTCTTGCCAATCAGTGCCAAATATTTTCCAAAATTCCTGGTTCTTTGTTTCACTTAAAAAAAAACAGCTTTGAAAAGAGATGCCTCTTAGAGAATCTTGTAGAAGTTTGTAAAATGCTAAATAGGATTCTGAAAATACAACTTTAGGATAGACACCAGTCTAACAGCCTGGTCAGCCTGACTCATCGACAGGAATGGATGGACAGGCCAATTGCTGGGAGCAGCGATACTTCCCACTGGCTCCTGTTAACTCTGCAAATAAAAGTCCTAAGTTTGGTGGTCCTTGCTGGACAAGCAGCAGGAAGCTTGCCACAACGCTCTTAATGGCGAGCTATGCAGTTTGAGCTGGTTAGACTCCAGCATTACCCCATTGCACACTCCGGGATTTCAAAACCTTGGCTCTTGCCAACCTGTGCCTAATACTTTCCAGAATTGGATTAACAAGCTGCATCCCTCTAGGGAAAGAGTATGCATTCCATCCAGACACTAAGAAATTTCCGTGTGTAAGTGGCAATACACATGTCGAACACTCAATCTAGTTTGGATTCTCTTAATGGGAATGGGTTTCCACATGTGTCAGAAACCCAGCTGACCAAAAAAATTAATAAACAAATACCATTGCTATCTACTGGCCCAGTTTCCTACAATACTTTAATTGTTATCGTTTTCCATTTTTATTTCAGAACTTCCAACATTCAGTTTTCTATTTTTATTTTACAATCTCCAAAATTTCTTTGGTATCTCTTCAACTGCAGATTCCCATACATTTTGTGCTCCAGCCAACTTTCTTTCATTCATTTCACGTTTCCGCGGTCTGTTCTTTGAAAGTCCAATATAATTTCTTATTTCCCTTTTCAGAGAGTCCCATCAGTATCTCAAATTTGATATGATATCTAAATGCGCCGCCAGTACAACCTAATCTTACCAAACCTGGCTTGCTTCCCAAGATCAGACTCCAGAATAGCTTCCGATCTTGTTAGCTACTCAACAAACCATGTAAGGAAGCAGGCAAGCAATACCTGGTCATTCCATTTCTCTCATCTCAGCCAATTATCTGGGAAATTAAACTGCACTGGGTTATTTCAAGGAGAATTTATGTTTTTTTTTAAATGCTTTTTGGGCAGTTTAAACTTGCATGTTGACATTCATAAATATTATGGTGTGCAAATTAGCTTCTGCTTTTGCCTGCAAAATACACTTTACAGGATATCCTGTGAAGAGCTTTGAGTCATTCTCCCGACGTGAAAGGCATGAATATCAAATGCAAGGATTATTATTAATTAGAGAGGTGCATGAGGTCTGGAACGGATGTGTGGTTGCTGAAAATGAGCTCTTCAAGAAAGCGGCATAATTTCTGCCATTTCATATGCAAAATAGGACTTCAATGTATGTGACATTGAGTTAGCTAAGTTCAGCTGGGGCAGCAATAGGGACAGTACAATTGGCCTCAGTGCCCCTGGGGTTAGAGGGAGGATAAATCACTAGATTTCAATGTCAACCTCAGATTATCTCTGAGCTGAGGTGATTCGGCCTGACGTACACAGGGGATCTCTGCTGGTTTACACTCTAACACTGCCACTTTCCTGAGAAGCATTTTATTCTCCCATTGTCACTGTGGCGAGCGCCGAACCTTTCTGACTCTCGTCTCACAATTTATTTTTGTCACAATGTTTCAGGTTATAATGTGTGGCTGTGCAATTGTACTTTTCTTCTTTAAATTAAACATCATATCGCTTTCAATCGAATCACAACAAACTGACGAATCTGCGTCTTAATGGAGAAATGATCCTGAAATGGTCCACTGTTCTTCTCGAGGGCAAAGGGCCACACAGATTGGAAAGTTGTGGGGTCAATTCACGTTCTGTGCTGAGTTGGCTGATTTTAGTCAGGGCAGAAGAATATCAGGCAGGGAAACAGATTAGCTGCTGTGTTAACATATTTCCCCCCCTCAATAATTGCTGTTTGTAACCAGCAGGTTAAGTGTTAAATGGATTTTGAATTCTGCAGTGGTGTATTTGGCTGCAGTAGAACAAACAATGGGGATTGCTTTTAAATGGATTTCTTCTGCCACAGGAGAAATTCAGACTTTTTAAAAAAACAAAATCACATTAGGCCATGCACAGTTAAAGCCCTCTTCTGCAGGCAACATAGTTTGAGGCAATAATCATGTGTTCTTACAATGTGAGAACATCGTCTGGGATGTACGTGTGGTGTGTTTGGTATTCTTTTTCTGTGTGTCACCAAAAACCTTTTATCTGGTGCTGTCTCTACCCAATCTCTGCCAAGCTAAAAAAGGGAAAGGATTGCATGCTGCCTTGAGAAGGTACCCATTATGTAAGGTGTCTGTCTCCCCCCATCCCGCCCCCCACTAACTCAAAGCATCCCCAATGAGAGCCAACACTTGTTGGAGGTGCAACCTTCAGATGGTCTTGTCTGCTTATTCAGCTGTGAAAGATCCCATGACACTATCTGAAAAAAGAAGGGAGTTTCTCCCAGTGTCCTGGCCAATAATCCCCCAGATAAAATATGGTTGTTTGTGGGACATTGCTGTTTGCAAATCAGTTGCTGTATTTACCTACAAAATACACAGTCACTCCACACAACAGTAAATCCTGTGAAGTGCTGTGAGACATCCTCTCGATGTCAAAGGCACTATATTGAATGCAAAGATTATTATTATGAACAGTTAGAGGTTTTAAAGTAAAATTAGGAACAAAAAATAGTTTTCAATAAATTAAAAATGTCTCATTTTGTTTCAATTGTTCATCTGTAGAAATTTTACAGCACAGATGGAGACCGTTCCCCCAACCACATCTGAATTGTAGCCAGCTCCTCCACTGGAACTATCTAACTCCTTTCTTCTGTTTTAATTCCTACTACCCATACCCTCCCTGCCCTCTACCCCATCTGATCCCAATCCGCAGCTCGTGTCCAAATCCCTGATTGCCCAGCGCCTTGGGATGTCCTCCCGATGCGATAGAAATGTAACTTGTCGTTGTTCCCACCCTAGCATCTTTTCATCACACCATCAAACTGTTTCTGAAACAAGTCTAGAATCCTGGCTTCAACCCCATTTTTTCTGGTAACCCATTTCAATTGTTCATCGCTCTCTGTGTAAAGCAATGCTTCCTGGTGTTTGTCCTGAAATACCCTTCACGACACTGCACTGGACCTGTGCCTACTTGTTTCCCAGGCCTATTTATATTGCTATTCTTCAGGAATTTTCAGCTTTCCTCTTACTGCTAGTTGGAAAATGACATTGTCATAATGAAAACAGGCAGTCATGTGCATTGAGTCTAAGTTGGTAACAGAGCCCACAGTTGATCAATGATAATACAGCATAGTCGTTCAAAACAGGAAGCATATAACAAAGAGATATGTTAACATAATATTTATGATTTATTAGTAATCTGTCAAATTAAGATCCTGCCCTGTGCACAAGAACACTGCCACACTGCCACAGAGGGAAGACTGTCAGCCTAATGTAACAAGTAACAGTTTCCTTTTCTGTTGAGCCACTCCCAGCGGTTCTCAAATGTAAGGCACTCAGTGCTTTCGCCTATGTGCCAAGTGTGATCGAGCAGCAGAAATTCTATTTTAATGAGAACTCCTGCAATGCTCGAGTCCATAACACTATTTCAAAAGGAAATGAACAAATACTTGAAGAAAAAGGGAAGAGAGCAGAGGAAGGAGATTCGAGTAAATCTCTCCAATGGAGACAATTGGCTGAATGGCCTCCTTCTGGGCTTCCCTAGTCCTCATTTACTGTCCTCTGCAGGGGAAGAAACTATTGTAAATCCCTGTGAGACATTTCAAAACAAATCTCTGGCAAATGTGTTATTTGTAACTTTCTAGGTTTCTTTGCATTTGCCTTGCGGCAGTATTGTCAATCAACAATAATCCAGTACTCTGCTTTACATCAGTATAATCAGTTAATCAATGCTGATAAACACCCGGCTCAAATGCACAAGGAACAGGGATCTCTCATTGCTTACCCATAGATATATGTGATGGCTATATTTTTCTAGTCCCCACTCCTCCCAACTAAAATCTCTGCCAATTATCAAGTACAAAGTATTAACTAAAACATTAATAGCAAAACAACAACTTGCATTCATATAGCACCCTTCACGCAGGGTAGCGTCTCAGAGAGCTTAATAGCAAAAGGCATCAAAGTACAGCGACAAACTCTGAGGGTAAGCAGTCAGGGTAAAGTTCAAAGTTAACATGACCTGAGGTGTCAGCTCAGTTGATGCACTCTTGTCTCTGGGTCACAGGGTGTGGGTCAGGCTTGAGCACATCATCCAGGTTAACACATCAGTGCAGTCCTGGGGGAGCATTGCCTTGTTGGAGGCGCCAACCTTCATGCTGGGCGGTCAAGAGATTCGCACCCTACAAAAGCCATTCACACTAGACTTGACAGAAACTACTGTAAATCTCTGTGAGACATTTCAAAACAATAAGGTGTCATAAAAATGCCAGTTCATTCAACTAAAAATAATTCAAAATCTTACTTGCTCACTGAGTGCCTTCAATGAGTTCTTGATGTCATCGCAAGACTGCAGCCTGGCTGCAGTAAGCAGCAGCTCTGTGTTGCTTGAGATGAGAGGCTGAAGTCTGTAGATTTTGGTGATGACCTCCTTTGCTTTGGCTGTGTGTTCAGGTGAATAGTAAATATACTGGTACCCTGAACTGGGATGGGGGAAAACACAAAGGCAATTAGAGTCAGAAATGAGAATTCAGCACACCAGGGTTAGTAACATAGTTAACACGGTAACGGGGACTAAAAGTCCACATTCAGTTTTGCAGCTTCAAGCTAAATTTACGAGTTAAAATTAATTAGGCTTCAAAACCTCAAAAGCTCCTGCTCATCTGCTAACAACAGGTGCACTGTTATTTGCCTTCGGGTCTGTAACATCTATTTACAGTATTTTCAACAATATGTGAAAGATGAAAGTATCTTTCCAAAATACTCACTCAACCATCCTTCCTATATATAACACTTTGCATTTATCTGTATCACTCTACATGACAAAGGGCAACTTCTAAATAAATGCACATTTCCTTCTCTATTTTTCCCCCCTTCAACTGTAACAATAGTTTTGCCCGTTTTAGGTGATAGTTCAGATAGCCATGTTTTGTGTCTGGTTGACAGTGCAGTCTTGTGTGTTGGCTGGTTCTTCTGTGCATGCCAGCCTGGGTGAAAGATTAGTGTCATCTTGGGAAAGAAATGCTGTTGGAACGACACTCTCTATTTGCGTGTCAGCACTCATAACCCTACACTGTGTGCCATCGTCCTCAAACAAGCCCTTCTATTCATGGGCACCACTGACCCTGTGCTACCAGGTCAACATTAATGAGCCGATTTGAACAAGTTGCGAGTTTGCTTTCATGTCAGTGACTATCAGCTTCTTTAGTGTCTGGGGAAAAAGTGGCTTCATATGGTTTACAAAGAACACTTCCTTCCAGGGTTGGTGACTTTAATATAATTTTTTCTTAATTCATCAATTAGAATTAAAAGTGTATTAAGCCCTATGATTATTGGGATATCTGCTTAACAGTTTACATTTATATAACGCCTTTCACATCGGGAGGATGACTCAAAGCTGGTCACAAATCTGGTTCAGACTCACTGGTCATCTGAATCTTATTGGTGATTCTTGTTTACCAGTCAATGTAAATGCAGTATTGTACAAACTGAGTCATTCCTGAACAGAATAATAATAACCCTTGCATTTGATATAATGCCTTATCATGTCTTCAAGACTTTCCAAAGCTCTTCACAAAATATACTCTAAGTGAATTGACTGTATATTCTGTGAAGCGCTTTGAGACATCTTGAAGACGTGATAAGGCGCTATATCAACAACAACAACAAGATTCCATTTATTGAGCGCCTTTCACGTCGGGAGGACGTCCCAAGGCGCTGGACGTCCCAAGGCGCTGAAAAATGCAAGGATTATTATTATAATATATATTATTTGTGGGCGAGTGTGTTGTATTAATATGTGTTGTGGATTGTATTGCAAAATTTGTGGACATTTCACCCAAAGATATTCGCAGCTAAGAGGGCATCTTTAATGCAAAGAATCCAGTATGTCACTATCTCATGTTAAACCTCAGTATGCTGCTTGTGTGGTGGTGCAACATCAATTGCGTCAGGAAAGACAAGACTGATAGGCCTCAGGTTCACTTACACCACATCACAGCATAGGTCTACAATATGGCATGTTAATAATGTCCCCTTATCTACTTGGCAGCCTGACACACACATCATGAACCACTGCAAATGGTGGGGAAAATAGGCTGCATTGCTTGAGTCCTGGACAATCACATCTACCCTGTGCAATGCACCATGAAAGCAATAGTACTGCATCATAGTCAGATTTGTGCAAGCTGATGTTTACCATACAAATGCACTGGGAAGCTTTAATAGAAGTTCACACAATTGAACAGGAAAGGCTGCGGAAGATTAGACTGGTCTAGAGGAAGCTCCAGTGGAGCTTATTGCAGATATACTAAACATTTTAGAAAATTTCATCTGCATTGTCATTGGTAAGAGTAAAAGTCCCAACACCTGCAGTAACACACAATTTAATCGGGCAGCCTGGCTCAGTGTGTCAGCCTGGCTCAGTGTACCAGCCTGGCTCAGTGTACCAGCCTGGCTCAGTGTACCAGCCTGGCTCAGTGTACCAGCCTGGCTCAGTGTACCAGCCTGGCTCAGTGTACCAGCCTGGCTCAGTGTGTCAGCCTGGCTCAGTGTACCAGCCTGGCTCAGTGTGTCAGCCTGGCTCAGTGTACCAGCCTGGCTCAGTGTACCAGCCTGGCTCAGTGTGTCAGCCTGGCTCAGTGTACCAGCCTGGCTCAGTGTACCAGCCTGGCTCAGTGTACCAGCCTGGCTCAGTGTGTCAGCCTGGCTCAGTGTACCAGCCTGGCTCAGTGTGTCAGCCTGGCTCAGTGTGTCAGCCTGGCTCAGTGTGTCAGCCTGGCTCAGTGTACCAGCCTGGCTCAGTGTACCAGCCTGGCTCAGTGTACCAGCCTGGCTCAGTGTGTCAGCCTGGCTCAGTGTACCAGCCTGGCTCAGTGTGTCAGCCTGGCTCAGTGTGTCAGCCTGGCTCAGTGTGTCAGCCTGGCTCATTGTACCAGCCTGGCTCAGTGTGTCAGCCTGGCTCAGTGTGTCAGCCTGGCTCAGTGTGTCAGCCTGGCTCATTGTACCAGCCTGGCTCAGTGTACCAGCCTGGCTCAGTGTACCAGCCTGGCTCAGTGTGTCAGCCTGGCTCAGTGTGTCAGCCTGGCTCAGTGTACCAGCCTGGCTCAGTGTACCAGCCTGGCTCAGTGTGTCAGCCTGGCTCAGTGTACCAGCCTGGCTCAGTGTGTCAGCCTGGCTCAGTGTGTCAGCCTGGCTCAGTGTGTCAGCCTGGCTCAGTGTACCAGCCTGGCTCAGTGTGTCAGCCTGGCTCAGTGTGTCAGCCTGGCTCAGTGTGTTAGCCTGGCTCAGTGTGTCAGCCTGGCTCAGTGTACCAGCCTGGCTCAGTGTGTCAGCCTGGCTCAGTGTACCAGCCTGGCTCAGTGTGTCAGCCTGGCTCAGTGTGTCAGCCTGGCTCAGTGTATCAGCCTGGCTCAGTGTGTCAGCCTGGCTCAGTGTACCAGCCTGGCTCAGTGTACCAGCCTGGCTCAATGTAATAGCCTGGCTCAATGTACCAGCCTGGCTCAGTGTACCAGCCTGGCTCAGTGTACCAGCCTGGCTCAGTGTGTCAGCCTGGCTCAGTGTGTCAGCCTGGCTCAGTGTACCAGCCTGGCTCAATGTACCAGCCTGGCTCAGTGTGTCAGCCTGGCTCAGTATATCAGCTTGTCTCAGTGTGTCAGCCTGGCTCAGTGTGTCAGCCTGGCTCAGTATATCAGCTTGTCTCAGTGTACCAGCCTGGCTCAGTGTGTCAACCTGGCTCAGTGTACCAGCCTGGCTCAGTGTGTCAGCCTGGCTCAGTGTGTCAGCCTGGCTCAGTATACCAGCCTGGCTCAATGTACCAGCCTGGCTCAGTGTGTCAGCCTGGCTCAGTGTACCAGCCTGGCTCAGTGTGTCAGCCTGGCTCAGTATATCAGCCTGGCTCAGTGTGTCAGCCTGGCTCAGTGTGTCAGCCTGGCTCAGTGTACCAGCCTGGCTCAGTGTGTCAGCCTGGCTCAGTGTGTTAGCCTGGCTCAGTGTGTCAGCCTGGCTCAGTGTGTCAGCCTGGCTCAGTGTACCTGCCTGGCTCAGTGTACCAGCCTGGCTCAGTGTACCAGCCTGGCTCAGTGTACCAGCCTGGCTCAGTGTGTCAGCCTGGCTCAGTATATCAGCTTGTCTCAGTGTGTCAGCCTGGCTCAGTTGATAGTACTCTATCCTTTGAGTCAGAAGGTTGTAGGTTCAAGACTCATGTCAGGTTTTTGAACTCATGTAGTGCAAGTAGACAATCCAATGCACTGCTGGGGCTGTGCTGTATTGTTGGAGGTGCCGATCTTTGGATGAAATATTAAACTGACTGCCTGTTTAGGTAGACGTTACAGATAGCATAGCACAATTCGATAAGAGAAGGCAGTTTCTCACAGTGTCCCGGCCAACATTCCTTCAAATAAATTGGTCATTCACTTCAGTGACTGTTTGTGGGACATTGCTGTGTGCAAATTGCCTGCTGCATTCTTCTACCAAATACACAGTCACTAACACTCTAAAGTAAATCCTGTGAAGTGCGTTGAGATGCTTCCAGTACAATATCAAATAGCAGATTAATTTATTTATTAACTTATCTATTGTTTCATGTCCACACATGTATTATTTTAATTTTCAAAAAAGAGCCTTAAACAATGGGATCGGTAAACATTGAATACGTTACCGAGAGGAATTTTACAGGCACGGTCAAAGAGTTAAAGTTTTAAGAGATTTAGATTTTGAAGTGAACATAATATGAATTGGAAAGGCTGATCGCATTCTCCGCTTCGAGACGACAAAAACCCAAAGATTTATGATCTGAAAGTTAAATATAACGTCTCTTTCTCAGTGCAGGACTTTGTTGCATGTCAGAGTCTGGCACAGGAACTTTGTCCATCCTGGCACCTTACAAGAGACAGAGAGTGTTGAGGCTTCACATTGTAAGCACGTGTCAAGGAAGCTGCATAGTATCTTTCAACCTCAAAGCAATACATTGAATCCAAACTGTCCACTCATCCTTAATATTATAGCAATTACACAGATCTAAACAGAAACTCATCTGGTGTTCTGTATAAATCAAATGTGTTTTGTTCCAATTCCTTTATGAGTCCCCAACATTGACTAATGGTAACAAGAAAGGAAAAAAAATTCTTTTCTTGATTCATTGATTCACTTAAGCTTTTTTTTAAATTTGTGCTGTATGCTTCAGATAGCCAGCTGAACAGATCAGTCTGGACGGCAAATAAACCATCCGAAGGGCATAATGTAGCTCAGCGGTTAGAGCAAGCGAGATACCTGGGTTCAATTCCAGGAAGGGCGAAACCTTGGGCAAGTTTCCTTTATAATAAATTGACTATAATAAATTGGTCATTTTTCAACTCACGACTGTTTGTGGGACACTGCCGTGTGCAATTGGCTGCCACGTTTTGCCCACAAATATACGGTCAATTTACTTTGCAGCATATTCTGTGAAGCGCTTTGCGACGTCTAGAAGACGTGAAAAGTGGTA